ATTCCAAGTTGCTACCTCACAACCTATTGGAAGAAGCAGGTTTGTAAACAAATACATCCAAACAGTACAGAAACAGCTGGAAGCACCGAAGAGGTTGTTGATTATGGCTGCAGGGTGTGAGCATTTTTATGGTTTCATTTGGGGAGCAATGGATGAATCTACCTTTAAAAACAGATATCCATGGAAGCATTTCCTGCCTTTGACTTATCCTTCCTAAGGTAAGGATATGCAATAAGTGTTCATAGAATGCTTAATCAACAGGAAATGTTCATTCTAGAAAAAGGATTGTTGACAAACTGCAACCCACAGGCCTGGGCTGTATTGAGAATGTGATGTACTTGGTTGCCGCCCAAGGTCACGGCTGATCTACCCTGACAATGAAAAGATCTAATACAGAGAAGATGGTAGTTTGGACATATACAGTTTGCTTTTTACTACTGGAGCAATTCTTCTTTTTTTTAAATTTACTTTTCCTAACTTTGCAATTTGGAAAACATCATAGAATAAATATTTAAACAAAAGATCTCCATGGAAGCTATTTACCTACAATGCCATCTTGAAACGGGGCAGTAACAATGAACAGAGGGCCATAGATGAGCAAAGAAAAGTAAATCCTTTGATTTATCTCCTTAATCTATGTTGGAACTCTATTTACCGTTTCTGAAGGTTATCTCTAATTCTAATTGCCTGTTTGCTTCCTGGCTGTCTGAGAATTTAGAACCACAGATGCCCTTTTTGTGAACATAAAATACCTTCTGTGTAATCAGGTCTGGCGCTGTGCTGACACTGGGGTCTGTAGCTTAATTACTGATGATAGGAGGCAGAGGGAGGGGGACAATTCTGTGCTGGCATTTGAATATCAATCAGTGTTAATGAAAGCGGAACTCCATCTTTGTAAAGGGCACCTCAGTCATCCTTGACTCAAAGAGCGAAGTTGTTCAGGCTGCTCACAAATGAGTCATCATAGTTTGATATAATCCCATTCATTTATTTTTGCCTTCGAGGTCAAATTCATAAAAATCTTCATTAAGACCAAGGTCCATAAGTTTAGTAACCACATTTTCTTCCATATAATTTATTGTTTCAGGTCTTATACTTGGTTCTTTGATCCACTTTGGGTGGATCTTGTGAATAGTATGCTAAGTAAAATGTCAGTCAGAAAAAGTTAAGAACTATATGATTTCACTAATATGTGGCATATAAACTGAAAGCAATAAATGAACAAACAAAGAAAGCAAACATAAACTCACAGATGTAGACAACGGTCTGATGTTACCAAAGAGAAGCTGTCAGAGGTAGTAAAGGGTAAAGGGTTCGAATATATTGTGTCAGAAGGAGATCTGACTTTGGGACATGGATACACAATGTAATATCCAGATGATGGAGTACAGAATTGTACACTTGAAACCTATTATTAACCAGCTAGAAGCCTGATGCACAAAATTCGTGCAAGAGTAGGCCTTCCTTCCCTCAGCTGCCAGCACCAGCTTCCCTCTGGCACCTGGGACCTAGGATTTGGGCTTCCCTCGTAGCCCCAGCTTTGTCCGGATGGTTGATCAGAAGGATGTCCAGTCTAATTAGCATATTATGCTTTTATTATTATAGATCTCACCCCAATAAATTAAATTTAAAAAGAAAATAAAAAAATGAGTCACTAAAAATCCATATAATTTTATGTAAAAATTACTCATTGAAAGTACCAGGGACAGTTTAGTACAGAAAGGACATGGTCCTAGGGTCCTTGGGGACCTTTTTCAGCTCACACTCTTGGCTTCCTTTCATCACGAGAGCTGGTGGAAGAACTGATCCCAGAGAAGCAGCTGCAGGTGGAGAGAGACAGCAACCCAGCCTGTCCCAGTTCTATCACTGGTGAAATAATTACTATGTTTTAAGCATTCACTTTGGGTTAAGCGTCTGAAATCAGGTTTCCTTCCCTTTTAATAGGTCCCTTCAGCCTAGAGATAACAGCTCCAGAATGTGTTGTGACAAACATTTTTCATCAATGCAGAAGAAGTTGGAAAAATAGACATAGAAGATTACCTTCAAATACAAATTGATCACCCTTAGTATCTGGCAAAATCGAAAAAAAAAAAAAAAAGTCTTATTTTACCAATTCTGCAGGAAGAGACAACAAACCCATCATAAGCCATTTAGAGGAAGAGATTTGAAACAGCAGCTGCCTGGTACTTAGCAAACATTTACTTGTTAAAGCTAATAATTCTTTGTCTCTATATCTTGACTGCAGAGAGCTAGAGTACACTGGGGAAACCATAACAACCTATACATTCCCAGACCCTTCCGGGAGTAGCTTCTTTTCTGAGCATTAAAGTAAATGCAGCATTGCTATGCCAGTCCTGTAGAGTGCACCTTGCTTCTGCAGCTACAAAACAATGACAGAAATAGAGATAGTAAAACTGAGCAAAACGCAGTTTTGAGGGTGGCATGCAATCAGAGTGATGGGTGAATTTGAACACAATGGATTTGTTGACACGCCATGAATTTTCCCCCCAGATCTAGTTCTTGTGCAATCTGTTAAACTTTCACTACAAAAACGTTTCCCCCTTTATCGTCTGAATGAAAAGCCTGCTGAATTTACTCATGTTGATCTCATCTTCACCGTCGGAATATGAAACACATGATGAAAAAGTTGGAAAGATACGTTTTTGTTCCTCAGTGCTTCCCATGATTTACTTGGTATGACACCTGTCTTTGCCAAAAATTCCCTTTGACTTTGGAAGGTCAATGATGACAGCTGCCCTACTATGCTCTCCTCTTTATAAAGGAAAGATAAAGCTACTTTAAGAAGCACAACTGAGGAAATGAGACCACATAATTAAGTATAACTTGGTGAAAATGTAGGTGTGCAAGAAGTGGTGCTGAGGATCAATGTTCTTATTGTTATTTCTTTTTTTTGTTTCAGCAGTTTTATTCTGTCCTGATTCCACCAGGATGTAGTCAGAATAGGTTACATCCTCATAAAAAAACAAAACAAAACAAAACAAAATTATGGTCAAAAGCTCTTGTCTTCTGCTTAACTTGACTACCTCAATAGAACAAAAGAGAATAAAATAAATCACCACTTTCAAAAATCACTAACATGTTTAGATCTATATCTATCTTTATATTACCTATCTACCTACCTATCTGAATATTTCTCTCTCTATATAATATTAACATAAAATGATGGGTATATGAAATAGTAAAATGTATTGCTCTAAGAAGTATACAATATAAAGATAAATGTATAGTGAAATTTAATTTACTTGGAATATATTCTATTAATATATTTATCTGATTTATAGTAGTTACCTTAATCAATGCATTCTTATTATATAAAAACTACAAATAACCAAAAAATATGATATTGAGACCATATAAATAAATTGCTCATCATAACTGATATTTTAAGCCCTCAACTTTGCTTGAAATTAATATCAGTGAGATAGAGTTTTCTAAATAGTTATAGACTGTTATTTTATTGTGTAAATAAACCTTGTCTTCCAATGAGTTTTTTGGCAATGTTTTAAGAAATTGCAATGCATTCTGGTGGTTTTTGCTAGATGCGTATACAGTTATTTCTGAAGTTGTATATCAGTCTTAATCCAAGCTCTCCCTTCAGAGAAAAGTTTCCCTTACTTTTCATGAAAATAGTAGTCTTTTATTGCTGGAATTACAGACCAAATTCTTGCTTGCCAGTAGATAGGGATGCAGTGCAAGGTTTTGTTTTCTCTGACCCTTACTTTTGCCTCCTGGGTCATGCGTGCGTGCGTGCGTGCGTGTGTGTGTGTGTGTGTGTGTGTGTGTGTGTGTTTGTGTGAGATGACTGGGTGACAGGGTGGTGGGTTCCCACTTGTAACTTTAAAGGGAGCTACAAAGGGGTCTTATCACTCCACCATGATGCTCACTTCACTCCCCAGAATATATCTTTCATCATTATTCCCACTGATCAAGTTCTATGAGTCTAGGTTTGAAATGATGGCAATAAACTATTGCTTTAAAATATACTATTTTAGTTTTTAACAGAATTTTTTTTTGGTCAAAATACTTAGTGTTGTTAATATGAGCAAAAGCTAAAGTATAAAAGGAAAAAGAAAAATACCCTGAATGCATTACCCTTAGGCATTAACTACTTCAAAAATCATAATGGTCATTCATTCACCAGATATTTACTGGGTTTCTATTACTGTTCCCGCCTATTGTGCTCAACAAATGCTTGTCTGATGGATGAGTGTTTTTTGCTTTGTTTTCTTAGCTCCTGCTTCCTCCAATCTTGGTCAGCGGGTTAGTCAACTGCCTGCAGCTGAGTGCTTTTCTAACTGCTAAAATGATTCATTTTAGGACAAAGGGGAGGAAGAGGAAATGAACCGCCAAAGCTGAGGTTTCTGCAGTTGTTGATGAAATACCTGCTATTTATTAATTTGATTAATCCATCAAGCCATCCCCATGCTATTTAACCTTTATATGTAGGAAAAAAGCACACAAGCAAAGCATTTACACTTATCTCTTTCTTTGCTCCAACTCCCCAAATAGTTTCTATGTCAGGGCTGCCGCCGCTAAACCTTAACATTGCTGTGAGTGGGTTTCTGTAGCATTTTATTATAGAGCCTAAAGTCAGCCTCCGAACTTATAAGCAATCCTGTTATGGAAAAATAGATGCTAAGAGAAAAAAATCCTTTGTAAAGCACAGCATAGAACAGACCCTGCTATTTTCTACATCTAGCTTCTGATATAGTGCTGGGTAAGGTTTGAGTGAAGCTCCTATGCCTTCTCGGGTCCTCAGTCCTGGGTGATTTTTGAAATAACTTTTATCATGGGCCTGAAATGATAGCTTTAGAGAAGCCACTGTCAATCTTAGAGCTCCCACTGTGCCCAGAGAGGGCTGAGAAATGGAAATGGAGGAAAAGCCAGCAATGCAAACACAAAGCGATTTGCATGACTCCAGGTCCACCTGGGGAAGCTGTGGTTGTGTGCGTGCTACCGGTTACTTTAAAGGTACTTGCCTTGCAAACTGTAGATCTCACCAACGCTGTTCTGACGGGTGATGTGATGCCAGTACGCGCTACGAGGAAGAGATATTGATTTGGATAATGTCATTGGCTCAGTCAAGCTTGTCTGAAGCTGAAAGAAAAAGAAAACAGGTATTAGGCTTTATTTTAAAATATTAAATTGAAATCTGCATTTTTCAAAGTCCAGGGTGAAATGTGGGCTACAGGACCCTGCATCAGCTGCTGTTGAAGGGTAATGTTTTTTACAAGGTGAAATCATGACTGAACCTATATGAAATAAACACTTGTAAACAACCTAATCCCAGTCATTCACTAAGAAGGGAACCAAAGAGTGGCACCGCTGATTCCAACTTGTTTCCAAAGGACATATCTCCGATTAGGAATGCTGGTCACAGAAATAATCAACTGGATTCCTCAGGGAGAATGTATCTGCTTTTCTATGAGAAAGAATTGCTTGTATTACCATCAGCATTCTACAATTAACTGAAGTTTAAAGTAGCTTAAAAAAAATGGAGATGCAAGTCCCTTCTAAAACAGATACCCCATGATGCTGTCAACACAGGATCCCATTTCTGTTGTACCCATTTCCCTGTTTTACAATCTTTCCTGACACCTCCCCCTATCCGTACTCAATGGCTCTTTCCTGGAACAGATCTTTCCCCTAAGTCTTGCGATATGCTTTCGTGTATTAAAAATTGTTTTTCCTGAGAAGCTCTGTGATAAAACAGCGGCACATTTTCTTGTTTGAAACATAAAATTCAGGTGAGCAGAAGAGGTTCACACATTACATCAGGGGCTCAGGCATACGATTAGTTCAAATAGTACAATACTTCACATTGCATTTCCAAGAAGAAAGTTTATTTTTATTGATTCACACCAGGTTTTAAAACACACACACAGAAACGTTTTTATTTGGTCTCAGTACACATTTTTTACAGACAATGGGCAATCCTCTAATTAATAAAATCTCCAATTTTCTCTTATTAAATAACTGCTCTTGGCAAAACTGGAAGCTGTAATGATCAGCCCTGTTGAGTGCAGCCTTAGAGGCCTGCTTGCTGGCTGTGTGTGCACTTTCCTACTGAGGCCTCCCTGCCCCCAGCACTTCTAGACTTTACATCAGGTGTTACCGTGTTTCCCCAAAATTAAGACATCCCCCGAAAATAAGACCTAGCGCAACTTTGGGAGAAAAAATTAATACAAGACACTTATTTCGGGGAAACAGGGTAGTTATATCCATCTTAGAAGATTCTATAAGAAAAGTACCTGAGAGAATATAACAGGACCTTTAATGCCATGTAAAGCTAATAGGTGTTTCCATTTTAATAGACTCTGAAGGCCAAGGACATGAACTTACCCATTTTACTTTATTTTTTTTAGTAGTGAGACATTTCCAGGCTGCTATGTCTTGCAACCAAAGTGCTCCACTGAGTGTATTTAAAAGTCTGGCCCTGTTGAAGATACTTTTTAAAAAAGATGGCTCTAAATAGCAACATTGCCATCAACTTTTATATTTTCTGAATTTGCTATATTGGCACGCACTAATTGGCATGCACATCCTATGTTTGGTAGGTAGGGAATGAGAGGTAGAAGCTAAATTTCTGGGTTACAACAGGGCAGTACTTTTTAGTGTTTTGGGATGTTATTCCCATGCACATGTCCACTTTTACCCTACACCTCTCAGTTGGACAAACTTGTGGGTGGAACTATGTATGTTAAGACATAAAAATCAAACCCATAAAGCCATCATACCACTATGCTAAGGGATGAAGGCAAGGCTCATTTTGTGACATTGTCACCTCCATCTGTTAGCCCCACTCTTCCAAATACCTGGGTCAATATTTGCCTCTACTTTTCTAGAAGCTCTGGGATTCTTTCTCAAGAAATGGTGATATGCATCATCCATTAATCTCATCTTTGTTTCATCTGCACGTGGTTTAGCAGAATTCCTTAGGAGGCATATACATGTGTATATGTGTATAGATAACATATTTTCCACTGAATTCAAATATTCTGTGTTTGTATCTTCTTTTGGTCATTTTACCTGGCACTTGGCCCAGATATCATTTGCATTATCTACTTTAATCCTCCTAAAATTCCTGGGAGATGGGCAAAGGATGAAGAATACCTTTTTAAGATGAGAGGAGGCTGAAGCTTTGAGATAGAAACTGACTTTTCTAAGGCCAAATATCCATCCCCTTGAACAATCACAAATAGAATCATGTTTCTGTTCTGAACCTCTGTGGGTTTTTTTTTTGTACAATGAAAAGATTCTGTGTGATGTCGTTCAAATGAAGTTGCATCATAAACAGTATTAAATATTGCATTATTTTAATGGGAAAATAATGATGGCTGCAGATTCTTGAAAAGCCTGAATTCAGGATTGGGGCATCTAGGTATCAAGCTCTTAAATCTGGGCTACCTGGCGATTACTTTGACCAATAATATGTGGTCACCATGATATCATGTCTGCTGTGGGCATGTCCTTTAAGATGGTCAAAGCAGTTTCTCTTCTCCTCTTGTTCTGAGTCATTGTGTAAGTCTGACTACCCTGAGGCTGCCATGGTTGAAGGAAGCACAAGCTAACCTTGTGCAGTGGCCACGTAATTCAAGGTTACAGTACTTCTTGGAAAATCTAGCAGTTCTCAACTTATCAATGGAACATCAAAATCCAGAAAAAGTTAGGAACTTGCTCAAGATAAAATCTCACCCGCAGAACCTCTACTAGAAAACAGTTCTTTTGACTTGATCCATTGTTCTTTAGGCTTTGATGCTATTGGGAGAAATGAGCTTCTCCCCCAACATCCTATATAATAAAAGCCTAATATGCTAAGCATCCTGTCATCTAGTCAGCCATTCAACCAATTACAGCATAATATGCTAATGATATGCTAAGGCCACCCAACTGCTCACTATGACATACACTGACCACCAGGGGGCAGACGCTCTGACCAGTAAGGTTAGCTTGCTGCTGGGGTCTGACCAACCGGGCCTGAGCAAGACAGGCTGAACACGCTCGCCCTGGAGCCCTCCCGTGGTCCTTCCCTGGCTGGCCAACTTCCTGCATCCCTCCTCTGCCTTTATTGGGCACCACTGGGGTCCCTCAGCCTGGCCTGTGTCTTCTTGCAATTCAGGTTAGGGCACCTTCCCTGAGTGCATGAATTTCATGCACTGGGCCACTAGTAGTATAATATGTGAACAATAGGGCCTTGTATTTGAGAGGATTTCCACTGCCCAGAAGCAGCAGGCAGGGTCTGAAGACTGCTGTGATTTTTGTGAAGAGACTGCCTACCAGCACCTCTTCCTGATTTTACAATCTATCTATCTATCTATCTATCTATCTATCTATCTATATCTATATATATCTATATATATCTCCACTAGATATTGCCTTTTGCAAATTCCCTGTGCTGTTTTGAGATTCTGCCTCCCCCTGTGATAAACATTAATGCTAATTTGTGTTTACTCACATAAAATTCATCTGTATAAAAACATTAACAAATTTATTCTCCTTTTTCTCTGTATCTCCCTAATTATTGCTTTGAAAATGCAAAATCCTATTATCATTTGAGACCCAAATCGGTACAATTGGGAGAGGGAAAACTGAGTATTTATAAATTAGCATCAGTGAGTCATACTCTGTGCCCAGCAATGTGCAAACTGGTGTCATCCATCATTTCATTTAACAATCACATAAATTGTCAACAAATATGCCACTTGAGCTCCATAGACAAGGAAAAGGAGGCTCAAAGAGATCGTAGTCACAGTTTCTTCTATATGATGGAGTAAGAAATGTCCTATCTTGGGTGGAATGTGTCAACATGTTCCTTGGTATGTCTGAGACAAGAGGGACTGGGCAGGAATATATGCTGTAAATTAGAAGCACTACAAAAATACAAGTGGCTAAAAAACAGGCTAATGTGACGTGTGAAATGTATGTCAGTATAAGAACAAAATGTGGAGCTGCTTAGTGAGGAAATGCTAAATACAAGTCAAGAACATATAATTTTCTTTATTCTTGGAAAAAAGCTCATGAAATCTGAAAACTGTACAGAATAGACCCCTCCCCCCCCCCCCCCCCCCCCCCCCCCCCCCCCGCCGCCGCCAGAGGCCTATAGCCAGCCGAGGGTGGCACTGTTTGGATTCATGCAAACTGTCCTCTGACGTTTGAAGGTTTACGGGCAATTGGTTTTTCACAAACTTGACTTAATTTTCAATAGGGGACATCTCATGTTTAATCTTTCATTTTATTGGAGATATCGATAAATGGAAAGGAATTAGAAGACACTTTGCTTAGTGTGCATCGGATTAACAAATGAAATGCAGTTTATAAACAGATGAAAAAAAATAGATAGGAGGGCAGAGAAGCATTGAACAGACTGTCAAACTACAGTAGGAAGGCTGGGGGGAGGTAAGAGATCAACTGAAGGACTTGTACGCATGCATATAAGCATAACCAATGGATGTAAAGTACTGGGGGGAGGGGAGTGGGGAGGAAGGCAGGGAGGGCATGTGCCAGGGGAGACTGGGGGAAGGCCAATGAAGACATATATACTACTATTTGTAATACTAAAAAAACAATAAAATAAATAAATAAATAAATAAATAAATAAATAAATATCAAATTCTATCAGTGGTATATGGAAGTTCACTTCCTCCAATACGTTCTAAAAATAGGCAGACTGCAGTGTCTCAAATGCCTTCACTAGTTCTGCAGTTCAATTTTCTAATAAAGCATTTTAAATATAGAATCGATGCAGAAATTTTGAAAGGAGCATCACTTTATTGTTTTTTAATTGATTTTAGAGAGAGGAAGAGAGAGGAAGAGAGAGATAGAAACATTGATGAGAGAGAAACATCATCAACCAGCTGCCTCCTACAGCCTCCCCACTGGGGATTGAGCTTGCAACCTAGGCATGTGCCCTGACTGGGAATCCAAGCTGGGACCTCTTAATTCTTGGGTCATTGCTCAACTACTGAGCTATACAGTCTGAACATCACTTAGTATTTTTGTTTGCTGAGTATACCATGGCAATGGCTGGACTTCTACTTAATGGCAATTATGAATCCCAACTCATGATTTAGATTCAAAAGAAGTTCCTCAAACAGTTA